TGCTGTGTTCTTTACAAAAGAACGAGCTTTTATTACACCTTCTGAAGGCATTATGTACTCTATAGGGGGATGTTAAAAATGGATGAACTCATTTTCTAAACTGGGTTTTTTTTTTTATTTGGAGGGATGGGGGCCTTGATTAAGTGCTTTGATTTCACCTGTCTCTTTCAAGAGAATGAGATGGTCATCTCTTTGTGTCCAGCTGAGAGTCAATGCTACAACAAAGGCTGTGGCACTATAGAAGGTTGGAGGTAAAAGGACCTAGAAGATCAGTATATGCAAGGTGTATGTCATTATGTCCAGGAGGGGACAGAAGAGCATGAATCAAGCAACTTGCCCAATCAATCACAGACATTAATTTCAGAACAAAATTAAACTCCATGTCTCCCAATATCAAATACTTCATTCTTTCCTCTTCCCCTCTTTATAAAACCTTTGTAGCTCTAGCTCCATTAAAATGAATAGTACAAAGGCAGCCCCTCCTGAATGAATGAGATAAGCTTTAATAGTTCATTTACAAATTGACTGCTTGGTATCAGACACATATTTTACTAAAGGAACCATGTGGATGGAGATCAAGAGTCCTTAAAAGTATCAATATGTTAAACACAGCATCAAGGATGGGCTTCAAGACTTTCAGTCATGTTGTTTCTATGGGAATTGCTTTCAGAGTTTCCATCTCTTATCCAGGTACCCATCACCCTGCAGCACTGTGGAATCTCAGCATCCTAGGCACTGGAATTTACTAACTCCCAGTTTCCTTTTCTATAGGAAATAGCACCTCTTGGGCAGTGTTTCACTGAGAATTACCAAGTAGGGGATGTGCCCACATCAGCCCTGGTTTTGAGAAGAGCAAGCTTTCCAGGATAGAGAATGAGTTTAAGTTTACACTCCTGACAGCATCTGATATCTGGCCCTGATCCTCAATTTATTAGAAGTTTTAGATTAATCTGGGAGTTTTGATAGATAGGTCACAGAAATGTAAATGTGTTCTTGAGTTGCTCCTTTTCTTTGAATTTGAAAACAGATAACTTTTCAATAAAAATCTGTTAATGGAAGACGATAGTCTAGTTTACAGGATTAGGTTGTTTACTCCATTAAACAAAACCAAGTTGGTTTTCCCAAGAATTAATACTTATAAAGATAAAACCTTGAGATTCTAGTGGGCTTTGGTGAAATGTTGCTAGGTAAACTAAGGTTTGCTTAAAATAAACTATCAGGAAATCTAAATGAAAAAATACCGTATTTTTTCAAAAGTTCACCTTTGATAATTTTCTAATTCAAAATGCCATAAAAAAACCCTTATTACTGAAATAAAATCCAGTAAGCCAAATAAAACAACACATATAATATAGTAAAATAATACAGTATAAAGATGCAAAAGATTTAGGAAATAAGAGAAATAATCTTTCTTAAACTTCAAAATCAAGCTTAGATATGGTCCAGCTGACAAATTATTTGTTTGCAAAAAATGGTATTTTCAGCACTTGTTGGTGTTAAAAAAAGGATCTTGCTTTTAGGCTGTCCCCATGCATTCTAATGATAGCAGTATTGGTTCAAACTGTGCACCAGAATCTCTTATTCCCTAATTTGAAATAATATATGCATTTCAATCACTACGAGAAAGAAAACTCATCATGAAGCCAGAAGAACTTTGTGGCTGATCTAGCTCTGCTATGTACTATTGTATAGATTTTTAAATCTAATTATTTTTTTCATTTCATTTCCTTTGGCTTCAATTTTTTTTTAGCTAGGAAGTGGAGATGATTATAGCCATCATAATTAACTCACAGAGGTGTGATGATCAAATACTTCAATATATGGGATGACACTTGATAAAATGTAAATCTTATATACACCCTGGTCACCAATACGAGTGAGACCCACTCTCCTGTGAGAAGTAAACTGTATAGCGCTACAAAGTGCTGGAACAATAGCACAAACTAGACAAGAGTCCTTGGGTTCCTGTTTAATTTCATACTTCCTAGTTGTGTAACCTTAGCAAATCAAATAAACTTCTTTAAACTTTGAGACTAAAAAAGAAATCTTCTTTTTTTTCCCCTTTGAACTGGACAACTGCTCAGAAAACACTTGGGCTCTAGGTCTACAGTGCAATGTACATGGGACATTTCATCTCTCCCCAGCTCAGCCTCCACATTGCAAACACCACCTAGCTTTGATAAGCAGTTACTTTAAGAATCTGTAGTGTAATCCATATAACTTATTGTACATTTAAAAATGTAAATATTCAAAGTAAAAACTAATTGGAGCTCTCACAGAGGTAAGGTATTATAGTATAGTAGCTCAAAGAACCATAAACAATTCTTTAAAAAAAAAATCCATGCTTCAAAGTTTCGATGTTTATAAATCACGTAAAATTTTGAGATTAATCTTTGCAGAATATTGCACAATTAAAATTTCAGTCACTGAAAAAATAAAATGCACTGTGATAAGTGAGAAAAATTTTAAATAAATTTTCAGTTATTTATATCTTTGATTCATTGAAAAATATAAGATCTAAAAGGCAGAACAAAAACCATATTCAGTAATTAACCTGATATATTACTAATTCATTTTGTTTTATTTTTGGTCCAATTGTTAAATAGAATGTCTGAAGTTGCTTTAAATAAAAGGTCAGATTTAGACAACACAAATCCCAATTGATAACAACTTGATTTTTCCTGATCATTGCCATTTTCTTGAAAAAGCTTGTATACTCAGTCATCAGTTCTTTAAATTTCAAAGTTGTGTGAACAGGTGGAATAACTAATGTAATATTTCTACACAACATTTTAAAATTCTGTATCATTTTTTACATATCAATACCTCTCACTTCCATTTACATATTCTAGAAAGGAAATTATTTCTTCTATTCAATGAAATAGAGGCTTAGATTAACTCATCTAGTGGAGTTAACTGAATTTTCTGCATGAATAAGGATGCTTATAAAATAGCTGAATCACTACATTGATTTGTGGAAATATATAATGTGTCTCGGTGAATAAATAGTAATACTCAAAAAGTTTCATTGGCTTCAGCTGCTGGGAAACCTCTTTACCATTTTAATGGGCTACTATAAAATGCAGAGTGATTTCCTTTGGTTTGCTCTTTAAAGTGTCATTTTGCAGGACCACGACAGAAACAATATTGAAGAGTCATTGGCATGATGCGTTTCTAATATTTTAGGAGCTCTCCAAGCTTTCGAACAGGAACTTAATCCTGAATCAGGCACGGTACTATTGATCTGCAAAACTAGGTTTAAAATCAGCAAACTCCTATCAAAAGTGTCTCTATAGAATGTTGGAACCACGCCGTTCAACACTTCAAATCTAATGACCTCAGGCAGTAGAATACACGGCTTAGAAAGTGAGCCCCCAGTTCCCTTGACTTTGAAAGTGACTCACATCATCACCTAAAAATCGGCGGCAGTATATATACACACTTTTTTTTTTTTTTTTAAGTTTAAAAGAGTCTTGCTGTGGCTTTTACTGTCCTTCTCATGCATTAGAGCAGAATGGAAAGACTCAGTGGTAGTGTGACCTTGTTTGGTCCCCTGTTAGAGATTTTTCCCTGGAGAGCTGCTTTGGGCTTAGCAGAGAAACCACAGCGCGCCTTTTCGGAGCCCGTTGCTACCCAGACAGCAGGGGATGCTTAAAGAAGAAATGCCTGTTCATCTGGGAAAGCGCTATTTCATTACAGAATATGAACAGAACGAGTCTCTAGATGGCAGCCTTCGACGAGATTGAAAAGCAGCCTCCGTCCTCCTCTACCGCCCTTTTCCCCTGTACCCCGACCGCGGCTCCTCCGCAGCAGGGCATCAGCTACCTGTGCGCTCTCGCTCATGGATGCTGGGGTGTGCTGCTCTCCAAGAACACAAGTTTAAAACGTTCATCCCCGTGCCTGATGTTCTTGGCCGGGAGCTGCCTAAATGTTTGCTTGGGGAAAGCGGGGAGTAAGGGATGCCGAGACGATTAACGCTAAGCCCCTGGCCTCCGAGAGGTGGGGCTGCGGGGGACACGGGGCCGCTGCCGCCCTGCCAGCGGTGGCCCCCTGCTCTCTGTGCGGACGCTCCGCTCCGCTCCGAGCAGAAACAGTGCAAAAACCTCCTGCCCCGCTGGCGGAATACCAGCGGGGCTGCAACCTCAATTTACCCCTGAGGTTTATGAGGGTAAAAAAAAGAAAAATCTCAGTTTCTCAAATTCTCAAAGGACGTGTCGGAAGGAGCAGGACACGGGCAAAGGGAGAGGAGACAGAAGGGGCAGACGCAAACCAGGGGGATCATCTTGCTCCCACCTGGCGGGGGCTAAGGTGGCGTCCTTGACCCACCGAGTGTGGGGACCCCAGGACTGGGTGGAGTCAGGGAATACGCGTGGCGGGAGCTGTTCAGGAGGACTCGCAGCCTGGCAGGGGGTGTGGGGGCCGCTGAGGCAGGTGGAACTGGGGCAGATCGAGGTCTTTTCTGACCCAAGCCTCAATCGGGGGTTAGGGGCAATCTCTCCATCCCACCCCACTCCTGAGGTCCTCACCCTGTCCCTACCCAGCAACCTCTGACACTCACCCCGGTCTAGACGGACTGGAAGGGGGGTAGTTTGTCCTAGTCCTGTTCCCTCCTGTTTTCATCCATACCTGGGAACCCGCCTCCTTACAAAGCGCGAAGCCTCTCCAGGCTGTATCTATGGACAGTCCGGCTCCTGCTTCCGAGGCAGAGCAGAGTCCAGTTCCCCGGCCTTAGAGGACGGTCGGCTGTCCCCAACCCGCGCCGCTCTCGCGCGCAGGCCGCACCCAGCCCGAGGCTCCGCAGGGCAGTCGACAGGGACCACTATCTCCCAAGCACTCCTCGCCCAGCCAGGGAGTCTTAACTGCAAGTGCAGAGTCCTCTGTCTGCTCAGCGGGAGCCCCGCGCAAACCCAGGCGCTCCCCGGGCAAGTTCGTGAGCCACCAGGGGCAGAAAAAGGAGTTTGCGGGGCACTAGGTTGGACAAGGAGGAAAACGGGTCTTACCTTGGTACCGAGAGCAGGGAGTTGCCATCCATTGTCGATGGGCGCGCAGCGAAGAAAAGCGCGAAGTGCGGGTAAAGGACCGGAAATCTGCTGTGCGAGGATCCGGCTCCCAGAGTCAGGGACAGACCCGCTCGAGGACAGAAGCGTGGAGGCTGGGACAGCCGCTGGGCTGAGACACGCTCCTCCCCGGCCGCCGCGAGCGCTGCGCACTGCGCGCTGCTACCGCTGGAAGGTCCCTCCCCGTCGCCCCTTATTAACCGGCAAGAGGGCTTGGCCAAAGCGCCAACCTTTCTGCCCAGCTCCCGCTTTCCTGCAGGGCAGCCCCAGTCTCAGTCATCACTGATTCCTTCTGAGCTTTTCCTGTCACTCCAGGTGCCCAGCAGAAGTGACTCCAACAAAATTTCTCTCTCCCCGCCCTGCCTTCCTGTCCCCTCTCCTCTCTTTATCTCTGGGGTTCAGCAGTCTGAGCCCTAAAGTTGTTCACCGGCATTTTCCGAGATTCACACTCTTCTCCTGGCAACGCCCATGTTCCACTGGGCTCTCACCTTTCCTTTGGCCACCTCTCCTGCATTTGATTTTTGTTTGTCTTCTACCAGGTAACTATGCTCTTTGATCCCCCAACTTCTTCCCCTTTACTTAGACTTTACTGGTTTTGATCCTCACAATTCTTCACCTAACTCTTTGCTTAATTGTGACTCCCTCATCTTTCGCTTGTTATTACAGAAGCCTGTGTGCACACAGAGACCTCAAAACCAATGACAGGGGTCATTCTTTAGAGGCCAGCACCCAGGCCTGGAAAGAAGGGCGGTCGCAGAAATCTCCACAGTGCCTGCTTTAGCATCTCCCTAAGCAAAAAAAAAAAAAAAAAAAAAAAAAAAAAAAGACAGTTTAGGAAGAAAGACATCGGTAGTAGCAACGACTGTTAAGATGATTGTGCTGTTGACTTTGACCCTATGAACAGTTTTTTCAGCCCTGGCTGGTGTGGCTCAGTGGAGAGAGCGCAGAACTGCAAAGCAAAGGGTCGCCAGTTGATTCCCAGTGAGGTTACATGCCTGGGTTGCAGGCCAGGTCCCCAGTAGGGGGCGCACAAGAGGCAACCACCCATTAATATTTCTTTCCCTTTCCCTCTCTTTAAAAATAAATAAAATCTTTTTTAAAAACCCAGAAAACAGTTTTTTCATTAAGAAACTTTTTTTAAAAGAAGCTTGCAGAAGTCTTACACTGAAATGTGAAATATAAAACTGCAACACTTTTACTGCAAAACTTAGAAGCAAATCTTTGGGATTTAGGGCTAGGCAAAACTTCTTGGACTTAACAGCAAAAGCACACTCAAGAAAATAAAAATTGGATAAATCAAACTTCATTGAATTTATTGAATAAAAACTTGTGCTATGAGAAAGGCCCTGTTAAGAGGGTTCAAAGACAAGCTACACACTGGAAGAAAATATTTGCCAGTCAGATATCTGACAAAAGACTAGCATCTAGGATATACTTTTAAAGCCTCTCAAAATTCAACTGTAAAAAAAAATTTAACTAAAACATGGGCAAAGAAACAATTTAACTGAAAACATGGGCAAACTGAAACGTCACTCAAGAAGATTTACAGATGACAAATAAGCACATGAAAAGATGTTCAACCTACTAGAAAAATGCAACTTAAAACCACAGTGATATTTTGCTATACACCTAACAGAATAACTAAAACAAAAAATAAGGACAAGACTGAGAGCTGGTGTGGATGAAGAGAAAATGAGTTTCTCATCATTCATCTATTGCTGATGGGAATGCAAAACATAAAAATCACTCTGGAGCAACCAGAGGCTTCTCACCCCTCCCCCATCCTTGGCATGTACCTTCTGCTTGCCTTCTCCGCGCTACAAGCTGCTCTAAAGACACAGACTGGAGAGAGTAAACTATTGTTGAGACCATTTGGATTGACTGCATGACTGAACCCCATTAGGGTCTCTATGTAAAAGTTTAAAATTGTGGTGGGTAGGTGTGAATATCTATTCACCTTGTGGTCCCCCAAGACAAGCCTCGTATGTAAGTTCCCTTGCTTATTAAGCCTACTATCTACCAATCTGGAGTGGTCTTTGTCTTTCTTCAGTTTTTCATTGCCTTCAGTGTATGGGGGGGGGGTGGTTTCAGATTTCACCAGGAAGCTCCCAAGGGTTCCCATCAGCAGTTGGTGAGCCAGCCAGCAGACTGAAGAAATGTGCCTTGGGGAAAGGCGTCTGATGTAAGAGCCAGAGGTGGTCAGCCACCTCTATGTGGGGCGGGGTGGTCCTCGTGCTAGATGCTGTGGACTGCCCAGTGAGTAAGGGCATTCCCTGAAAACATCAGCTGATCTAATTTGCTTATGAAAGGATCTGTGCAGAGCATGCTGCGTCAAAGAAGGGACATGAATGTCTGATGCAGTGAGCTCGCCTCTACTGTGGGCAGTTCTATGGGTCACCCAGTTAGAGGCTTAAGGTCGAGTTAGAAAGTTGGAAGAAGAGCTGAGGTTAGAAGGATGCTACTAAATGTGGGGCAAGCAGACAAGGTGGGAGAGCAGGATGATTCGTTGGAGACCTTAGAATGCCATTTTGCAAAGCTATGAGGGCGAACGTTGCCGCAGATTAAGATCCGAATGCTTGTGACAAAGCCTGATGGGACGCCAAAGGGCGGAATCCCTGGGAAAGTGATGAGAGTGCAGAAGAGGAAGTTGTGTGACTGACAACGAGAAATAAAAATCCCTATGCTGTCCAACCCCTACAACAAAGAAAAGCAAAAGCACAGCAACAACAACCCCAGCGAGTGAGGCAGCTCCCAGTTCAGGAAATGTTCATGATGAGAGACTATATTCCTACTGAGCTTATGGATACACCTGCCAAGCTGAAGCAAAAGGCCAGGCAAAGTATCAATGTACCTAAGGGACGGGGAGGGGTGCAGTGGAATAGGGGGTGGGGGATAATGGCATTTCTCTGACCAAACAGGAGGCAGACAAAATAGGCAACCAAAATGTTTTCCAGCAGCACCTGCATAGTGCTTGGGTGGGTCAATGTACTCACTCCCTTATAGATTGGATTATTTTATCCTGAGGGGAGGCTTGCCTCAGTAAGGGGACTTCCTTGGGCTGTGAGACCCTGGAAATCTACAGAGAAGGCACAACAAATTCTTATCGAGTTGGGAATGAGACAGGCCATCTGTGCCCCAGTCTTAGAAGGCCCTGATGGGTGATTGTTAAGAGATAAGAAAAATATCTCTGTACATTCCAAGTCCTAAAAAATTTCCTGATTACTAAGACTTAGAATCTTAAGTTACAAAACAAAGCAAAATATTTTTTGTGTTTTGCAATTGCAATGATCACTGAACCTGTCAAAACAACAAAGCAATGAGGTTTCACAAAAACTAATGGGGGAGATTTGTAACTTTTTGTGCATTATGTTAAAATAAACAGCTGGGAAATGGGTCTTTTAAAAAATGGAGTATATGGCATCATGGGGCCTTCCAAAAACATTAGTCGTACTATAATTTTCTTTTCTAATTTCTTAGCTTAACCAGGGTTCTCAATTCTGGTGGCAGCACTGCTCTCGAAAATGTAGGCTGCCATCAATTATGAGAACAGGAAGAAGGAGGTGTCATTAAGCAGATGGTCCTGGATGGCGGCCATCACAATTTGATCTCCTGAGGGTGTGGGAGGGCTTCAGGTGCTGCTCTTCTAATATGGCCTCAACACACAGTCAGAAATCATTTATTTTGGTTCTGACTTCTGGGTCAAGTTTGAGCTAGAGTGTGAGGATGCCGAAGTTTCAGATTCAAGGTTCAGTGATAGTCATAAAACTTGAGAGGCTTTTGCACAGAGCCTACGCGGTTCCTGAGTGCATGAGAATGACCCAGTTTCACCTGCGTTGGCATGAGCAAGCAACCTGCTTAACTTTAAGGATAGGCGTAGAAGAGGAGCAAGCGAGGCGCGAGGATTATTTAATAGCATTAGCAATTTGGAAATCAAGAGCCAGTGTAGTCAAAGGCAGCAGATAAATGGGAAGAAGCCCCCACAGAGCCCAGCTATGGCCACTCTTGTCTGTACAGCCTCCCTGGTGTCTGCAGCAGCACCAGTGACATCGACCGACTCAACAAGACACACTTCAGTACTATCAACTCAACGTGACCCGCAGTCAACTTTAACAGTGAATATGCGCCTGGGCACGTTAACTTGCACCCACGGATGTCCGCTCTTGAACATGTCTGTACTGTGATCTTGGGGTCAGTGGGTCTCACTCCTGGCTATATGTCAACGTTTAAGCCCCACAAAGACCAATTAATTAGAGTCTTTCGAGACGGTACTCATGCATCAGCATTTTATAGAGGTTTCTGTGGTGTTACTGTGCAAACTCTACAGCAGGTCTTAAAAAGCTTTTTTCCAAACACCGTATTTTATAAAATAGAAAACAGAGCTGGAAAGAAGCTGTCTTGTTTAAGATTTTCCTAACGAGTTAGATACAAAGCTGGGCCCAGAATAGAAGTGTTCTAAATCTTGCCACTTAAAAAGGCCATGGCTGTGCTAGTGACAGCACCAGGTCACACAGGGCAAACATAACTGCTTTTAACAGATCCTTAAAAGTTTCTTTTCTATGTCCTAAGAGTTCCCAGCAAACTTTATCAACTTTCGTAGCTTCTAATTATTTCTTTGTCCCACAAATACTTATAAAGCTCCTATTAAATGGCAGACTCTTTTTGTAGGTACTTGGGTTATAGCAGTAAATAAACTATGCAAAAACTCTTGTCCTCCTGTTCCTTCCATTCTGATGGGATTCACAGACAATAGCACTATAGGAATGCAGGTATCTCCTGCTCTTCGAAAGTTCACGTTAAGCCCCTGTGCCTTTATGAGAATTCTCCAGGGAACTTATACTCATCACCTCAGCACCAAGCTGCCACAGCTTTGAACTGTGTCTGTGAGCATCTGTGCTTTACCTCAATTGATTCTGTGCATCTATTAGCAAGATGTGTCCTCAGGAATCAGAAAATCCTGAGAGAGATCCTAAGGGTATTAAGTCTGGTGTAATGACAGGCATAATTAAGTGTTTCTCTTGTGGTGAACACAATAAAGGCATTGTACATGAACTGAATTTGCCTGCATCCACAGTTCATACTATT